TCTCGAGCCTTCGTGAATTGTCGGGAGATTACTAGAGTGGGGGTAGTCTGGTATATATAAGATGGTCACAACGTGCCGGGACAGTGTGTAAGTAGTGAGTAATTGAACTGCAGTCAGAGAATGTGTAATTGAGTATTGTCGAGCACGAGCACGTGAGACGTTCTAGCGTTTGTTATAGAGCGACTGTTGAAATTAAGTGTATCGGTAAAGTTATATTCAGAAAGAATAAACCAGTTTTATTAAGAAAGGACTTGTGTCGCTTAAGTTTCGTCGGAACGAAGTTACGGAAAATTAACTAACGACTGGAGGCGTAACAGTGTATAATCTACTTTTGTCAAACCTTTTTTTAGTTCCAGTTGTCACTCTGTGTTTATTATTACTGTTTCACAAATATTGTATTGTTAGAGTGAGTGATTTATTTCAAAGAATAAAGCATATGTAATTTTATGGAATCAACTTCTGTGTAAATTCACAGACACTTATAAGGTTATGCCATATTGTAATATGATATAGTAGATGCTTCAGTATTATATTTTTTATTTTCACACACACACGTGTATGCAACTGTTAATGTTAGCCAGCATCACTACCAGATTATTTTAATACAAATTTTGAATCTTACATTTGCTTTCACCGTTTAAATAGTCCGACTGATAATTTATTGTAATTGGTGTTTTGAATGATTTTGTAAACTAACTTGTATTATATAATTTGTATGTTTTTGAAAATTTTCCAGTTAGAATTTATTACCGAAAAAGAAAGCTTCAAAGCAATTTTTTAAATATACTTGTAAATCGAGCGTGTTTTATTGTATGTATTGCAAACACAAAAAAGTGGGTTTAAAATATTTAATACTAAATATCAGAACGATTTACAATTAATTTTAAATTCAGAATTATCTCATAATAAGAATGATGATGATGTTCTATTAAATATTTTATAATAAAGTGCCCTTAATAAACCATTAAATTTCCAGTAATTACAAGTGTCTGAAATAATACGTGTGTGAACAATACTAATAAGCAAATTTCTATTGGCATCAAAAATTGTGAGAAGTTTATTGTGAAATCTGAGTGGCCATTTTCAATATTGTGTTTTTGTACAGGAAATTATACTTGAAGTCCCTTTTTATGTAAAGACTACATATATATATATACACACTAACTTAATTGTGTTTTAGCATTGATTTGATTGCTTATATACAATTGATGTAGTTTACAGTATTAGAACTGTTTATTTATGTATATAGGTGTGTGTTTTTTCAATGGATCAAGGGGAAACCAGTATCAGGATTTTGTCACTGTCCCCATTAATAAGGATATTTTTCCTTTCTTTTCTTTTAGTGCCCATTGTTTTTGGTTTACATTTAGAAAGATGAGCCAAACAAAGTTACAACATTTATACTGTAATTTTAAATGTGGTAGGGTGATGTGGCATTGTCCAGGAAACATAAGGACAAGAAGATTAACCATCTGGAAAAGTGGCCATCTTATACCTCAGGCAACTGGAGGATGAAATGGTTATTCATATTATTTCATACAAAAGAATATCTGTCAAGTTGCTGGATGCAGTGCCTGTGGATTTCTTTGCAATTGAACTGTTGAAACGGATGCTGGAAAACTGCCCGTCTCATACGTTTGTCAGACTATGGAAAGAATGCGGGATGTAGGTGTGCTTTTGAGATGACAACCTTACAACAGAGCCTTTTAAAATGGAAATAACATTGCAGGATTATCATCAAGATGCATGGTCATCAGACAGAGCATGACCAGACATGGAAACACGGACTGTAAGTATTATTTAATGGTTCCTGGGGAACCAGTGTAACAAAATTAGATGCTTAACTTTCCTTGTATTTATTTTTTGTCTTTAGTTTTCACTTCAGAAAGCAATAATATTTGTCAGGCAATAAATTTTAACCAACTGTGTTAAGAATAGGTTAATATAGATGATTAAAGAACATTTAAAACAAGTTAAAAAATAGCTAGCCACTTTAAAAATAATACGTTGATTATGTCACGAATGTCTATATTCATTGTGGCTGAGATATAAGTTTAAAAATCAGGAACTATTTGTATCTTAGGTTTTAGACAAGTGGAATTGGGCTAAATGGCCGGGTTCCCAGCTTCTAAGGTTCAGGTTTTACCACTCCTAATTTTGAGCTACTGGCTATTTCAACCAATAACGAGATTGACTGTCACTTTTTTTTACGTGCCCAAAACTGAAAGTGTGAAGCATGGACAGTGGCATCACCTCTTACATTCTGGACACTGGTTTGCAGCCCAATGCACTAACGTGCAATATAGGAATATATCACAAGTTTCTGCTTTCTGTAGTATAGATATTTATTCTTTGTTCTGAACGTGTGCAGGTTTACACGTAACACGTGTTCAAGAAAAGCCGTTAACTCAATATCATTTCAAGGTATCATTGTTTCTACATAACTCTCAAAGTTAGGTATATCCTGTTACTTCCTGTGGCGAACATTGTTACACGCGACGTTTTTTTCAGGATGCCGAGAGCTGTCCTTCTCTGGTTGATGAAGTAATATCTAGAGATCACAGCCTCACTGTATGGGATTAGAATGACCAGTCACATGGTATGGTAGTTGCACTAGGTAAATAGTAGAATCCTCTCATTTTATTGATCTAATTTCTAACCTCGTCCAGGATTAATCTGAACTTGGTTTAACTTGACTAATCTCGTTCAGACTTAACCTGATCTTAACTCTGAAGGAACGACAGTCCATCGTAAGCAAGTAAACCCACCATTTTTAATTTTAAGTTTTAATAAAGATTGTTTTTATTGTGCATTACACTTTGTTTGTTTCTTCACTTACACTCGTCCACTCAGCACTGTTCTAATACCGTGTCTCCCGTTAAACAGACCTATCAGGCAGGCCAAGTGCAATTGGATCAATATGACGTAATGATTTAGCGAATAAATCACCTAAAGTTACTCAAACAGTATAATACGAAATTTTCTAGATGATAAAAGATATTCGGTTTTTATAAAGCATTTTAAAATGTCTTAAACAATTCTAAAAAAATAATTTTTATGAAAGTTAAAAACTTTAAAAACAATGTTAACATGATTGTGTTGATAGGAAAATCTGTAAGCAAACGCGAGCGGGATTTACTATTTTTTAAATATGTCTATCTCGTTACAGAAGAAAATACAAAAAAAATAGCAGGAGTGTATTGAATCCAAGGTCTAATGTTGTCAGATAAATCAAGGAATTAAATCAAATAACTTGCACGAAGGAAGAAAAAAAAGACCTTTTTTTTTTATTTAAAACATGACAAGTGTATAAAAAAGCACATGTAAAGTTTCAAGGTCTTTGTATATAAACAAAGCCAGTCAGACATAAAAGTAAACATTCCTAGCTGTATAATAAACATTTCTAAAGTACGATGTGAGAAAATAGAAGCTTTTAACACACACTCTCTAATACTTTATTTGATACTTCATACACGTACCTAACTGAGTATCAGCGAAAACACAACATTGAATTTTTAAACGTTACTAGTATTATAACTAGGCCTAAATCTAAACAAGCTTATGATTCTAAATATCTAAACATTCGTTTTTAAACTTAAACAGCACATGCATTGAGCGTTTTATATAAGTTTCTGTCAGTGACGTATTAGTACACAAAACATACCTGACACGTCAAAGCACGCGCTTGTTTTGATTCACACACCGAAATACCGAGAAATAAAGGAAACGTTATAATCTCACGATTTCGCGTGTAATTTACCATATCCAACGTGATTACCTTCAGCCATATCTTTTATGCTATTCTAAACTATGACCTACTTTCAGCCGAGGCAATAAACACTAAAATCAAATCACATCGATTATACTCGATCGAAGACTGGCCACTCATTTACTCCAAGGAGGAGAGAAAACAGAGTAAGACCATAGCTACCATGAGGGCTCACATTCGATATATTGATATATATATAATTAAGTAAATTTTAAAAGAAATCACTTGGAAAGATTCGCTATAAGTGCTAAAGTTAAAAAAAAAAGAATCCCGCACACTTTTAAAACAAAATGTTGAAAATCCTGTATTTAAAAAACGTCAAAGTAATATTCCAAAACATGCGTGACCCTTCTATCATCAAGACATCGTTTTACGTTTCTTTTGTCTGTGGAAGAATAACCTATTGATGAATTTGTAATTAATTTCTATAAGGCACTAGTAGTAAAAATGTGCTGTAATGCAAAAAAACCTGTCGGTACATGATGAAATTATTTTGGTTATCAAAAGGTTAAATGTGAATTACCTTTACAAGTTCCATGTGAAATCGTACCCTTGATTTTCGTTTCTTGCAGATAAAAAAAGAGGAACTTTCCACCTAAGTTTTCTTGAAAATATTTCAGTTTTATCTTCTTCTTTTCGCATATACTAACGACATATTAAATTATATGTTTGGTCCAGTTTTTTCTCACCATCGCCTATTTTATTGTTGAATGTTGATTTAAATACTAAAACTTTTTTTGCCGTTAAAACTTGTGTATTTGAGAATGATCGCACCAACAACTAAAATGTTGTACATGTTTAAATAAAAATTCTTTCTTACTGTAAAATCTGTAACTTGTAACAAAATTCTACTTAAATGAATAACATCAAGTTTAGTTAAAAAAATACTAATTGCGACGATTACAAGTTTAGGTAAAATTTTACTTGATTTAATTGTAATGTTTTTACAAAGAAATTATTCAGCTGGTGTCATTTTAATGTGTAATGTTACTATTGTTAGTAAACGGTACGGCTTTGTCCTAAGGTTTATAATAATAATAATGAACACTCAGGCTTAGCACATAACCAGTTCAAAGAATCGAGACATTTCAATAAAGAAAAGGAACGGAATCCTTAAATTAAGAAGAAAAAAAAATTCGTGTGTCACTTAGGCCTAACACACAACTATTTCAAACAATAGAGACATTTCAATAAAGAAAATGAACGGAATCCTTAAATTAAGAAGAAAAAAAATATTCTCGTGTATCACTTAGGCCTAACACACAACTATTTCAAACAATAGAGACATTTCAATAAAGAAAAGTTAACAATAAAAAAATATACTAGTGTGTTCCATCTACTTAGCAAGTCACTTTAATGTATTATATCTGAGAAAAGCAAAAGGTAGCAACTATTTTAGAGAACGGCGACACACCAGACCGCCATGAAAACATATACAGTAACAAATGAACTTATGTTGAAAACGTACACTTAGAAATGGGGTGGACAATATTATTTTAAAAGTTAAAAAACTCCAATCCAAAAGTTTACTACTCTAGGACCGGTTCTAAATTTCAAGTCTTTGAGAATTAAAAATCCCTGCTGTTGTTAATAAACTGAAATAAAGAACGTATATCCTAGAAATACAATTGTGAACCTACATCCATTTCAAGTTGCTGTTCACATTTAAATGACACTAAACATATCATCACATTAACTGTGAACATGAAAGATTAAACGTGAACGGGATATAAAACTGAAAAAAAAAAAATGCCACAAGAAATTAAATTTTGCTTTAGAGAAACGTACTGACTGGTTATTTAAAAAACAAACATAAGTCTAACAATATTGAACTGGTTTACTTGATTTATAGCTTTTACTGTTCACAGTGGAGAATACTTTAAAAGGGTCTACACTGATAGCGCCAACATTCTAATTTTCTCAGAAAAATCGTATCTAAGTTTGTGCAAATGCCGCAGTGATAATTCAATATCTAGGCCTAATCTGAAAACATATGTAAAGACACAGGTAACGAGATACTGAATATTTTAGATGTTTGTATTGAACTGAAGATTCACCCATTTAAAATCAATTACTTAAACCTAATGTTGTAAATTAATTCTCCGTTTAACCCGCTTATTTTACAAGAAATTTCAAAATTTATTAGTTTTTTTTACTTTTCGATTAGCTCCATTGTTTCACTCAGACGAATATGAAATCTGGAACTGCAGCCGTGTTACACGTACAAGCGGAATGTTCGCTTATTTTAACCCAACGGCCGTGGCAGCTGGAAGCATCCAGAGCAGCCCAGCGAGTAGACTTGCCGTCAACCCCATGACCTTTACAGCGATATCCCAAATGCTTTCTCATTGCTGCGGTTTCGCAGGCCACGCAAACTCGTTCTCCTTTCTTTAGTTTGGTCGCATCTTTTCCAAGGGGTGAGCACTTGTGATGAGACTTCGTAACTTCAAACACTACGCAATATCTGAAACACACTTTTTTTTTTCGAAACATTAAAAAGCGTTTATGTGTTGAAGGTCTCACTGATGCAAATACGAGTTTATTATTATTTATTCGTCCAAATGACAGCAATTTAAAAAGAGCGTGTTTTAAAATCAATATATTTCGAATTAAATATTCAAATAATATTAATTTAAATAGTATTTTTCATCATATACAACAACTACGATTTTCACACGAGACACAAAGCTCGAGCGCTTTCGAATAGCTCGCCATTCTTCTTCGGCAGAAAAAAGTTTTTTTAAAAGAGAATAAAACCTATATTCTGAAGAAAGCGCTCGAGTTTTGGGTCTCGTTTAAAAACCATTACAACTTGTGTATGTGATCCTGTGTGCTAACTTCTTAATCAGAATATACAATAACGAATATTAGTCATTAATAAAAGAAATTATCCTTTCTTCTGTTCTTTTTTCACGGAACACTCATAACTTATTTTCATAGCGTTTCTATGACTATTATTATAGACAAAACACAAAGAGAAATATCTTTCTAAATGGTGTATTTACCAAACATTTTACGATTGCTTGTACAACATATAATTCAGCATGAAAATGCTGTTAAGTTTGTTATCTCAACACCCTCATTCCTGTGGACATATCTCACTCACACTGTATATCTGGGCAAACTAATTTTAGGCTATACCTTCGCAGTCTTTTCAGTATTAAATGGGCCCTGCATGGCCAGGTGGTTAGGGCGCTCGACTCACAATCTGTAGGGTCGCGGGTTCGAATCCCCGTCACACCAAACATGCTCGCCCTTTCAGCCGTGGGGGCGTTATTATGTCCCACTATTCGTTGGTAAAAGAGTAGCCCAAGAGTTGGCGGTGGGTGGTGATGGCTAGCTGTCTTCCCTCTAGTCTTACACTGCTAAATTAGGTACGGCTAGCGCAGATAGCCCTCGTGTAGCTTTGCGCGAAATTCAAAAACAAACAAACAAACAAACAGTATTAAATCTATGAAAGGTGTAACCTCGAGCGTGAAAAATATTTGCTGTAATGTTATCGTACCTTATGCAACACATGGGCTAAAGGACATGTCAATGACCATTTGGATTCAGATATATACTCGTCTCTAGTTTTGAACTATTTACCAGATAGAATGCGCCCAGTCAGAAGCATCCGCCGCCACAAGGGGTTTGTCCGGTTTTGAATCCAATAAAGAGATTGTCACTCTTATAATACATCTACAGCTGTAAATGCGTGGCGTTTTTAGAATTCTCGTGGCGAAAACCTTAGACCTTATGATACGCTGGCTACTAGGCTGCCCCCTGGTGGGTCATCGGTAAGTTTACGGACTTAAAAGGCTAAAATGTGGGATTCCATTTCCTGCTCACTTTGGCTATGGTCTAAGAGAAACAAACAAAGCTAATGTTTGTAGGGGCATTTCATGCTTTACCAATGATTGTAGGGGTATTTCATGCATTTGTTAGGCATCTAACAACTGTTGATTATCAGGGTAATTTTAGTTAGGGCTCTAAAAACTAGTCTATAAATTACAGCATTTTGATCAATAATCTAAAGTATGAACGACTATGCTCGAACCTCGGGGTCATTGACCTGGCCGTTGGCCCATGTGTTATCTATAGCTGTATTTAGTATATATAAGTATATTTATGCACGAGGCATTCATTACAAGCTATTAGTGCTTTAATTAACAACGTAAATTTAGACGTAAAAACATTACTTATCTCGAGCTGCACCGACGTATTTGTAACGTACATCAGTCTAACTGCTAACCTAATAAAATGTTAATTCACCAATGGCGTTAGTCGGAAAAACATTTGGAGGTGTTCCAAGAAAAGAAAAAAAATAATGAAACGAATATAAAACATTTAATTTTCTCTTTTTCAGGTCGAGGTACTAGAAGTTCAAGACAACATTCATGGTTAGTAGAAATAGTGTCAATTTCCTTGATCCATTTCTTTGACTTGTAGTGGTCCTGTTCTACTTATTCAATATACAGTGTTGATACATAGAGACGTATGCAGCCTTTTTAATTAAACAGCATAATAATACAACACTAATATAAGTGTCAGGCGTGCCCGCAGTTTCTATGAGTAATAATATTTATAATTTCTTTACGATAAGTATCTGTTGTTAGATATGGACTTCCTTCTTAACCTAGCATTGGGTTAATCACCGATTACCCTGTCATTGTTTTTGTATAACATTGTAACGTAATATACCAGTGTGGTGTGATATATGGGTACACTAGCCCGAACAGCTCATATGTATTTACCACAGGATATGGTTGTTAACAGCCATGTGTTCATCTTTCTTGTTAACTCTAATCAGCATGATCTAACGGGAATACTTAGTTCATGGGTATTGAACATCTACAGAGACAACAAGTCTAGTCAACAAAGTACGCGGTTGATCATATCTTAACGATATTTCTGACTACAAAACATTTCTTTACAGCTTTATGAATGACAAAATGCAAATGGACCCGGAAAGTTCTTTGAAAAAAAAAATATAGATTGAAAACTTGTGGAATGTTATATTGTCTGATAGGCTGAAACGTTTCAGTAATTCGTATTGATCCATTGATACGTATACAAACAAATGAATATTTATATATATATCCACGTGTTTCTCTAGAATGGCGGAAATATATAAAAGACATTATTCGAACTGGTGACTAATTAATTCAGCTGGCATAGTTTTTCGTAGTCTGAAAGATTTTGAAGCTGCTCAGCTTTTCAGCTAAAATTAACGCTTAGGTTCCCTGTTTAAAGGCTGACTTTAGATACCTCCTCCCCTCCATGCCATAATCATCTGAAAACAGCTGTTGTCAGCCCAGTTAAACCGATGATACAGAATATAGCCTTGTACGACTGCAGATGGAGAAAATGACTTTTATTCTTTTTGAAGTTCTAGCTTACGTGATTTCATATTTGAACTCATCCCACAAAGGGGTGAAGAACCTGACTGTTAATTTTAACTGGAGGACTGGGAAGTCTCAAAGTCATTTGAATAGTTTTTCAAAGGGGTTTATAAATAAGGCGGCCATTCGCACTGTTTTTAAAGGGACAGTGCTGTTTTTCATTGGTATGTCCGGGAAAAATCGATACTATAACCGGGAAGCCTAATGGTCACGTTTTTGTGTTAAGCGTGGCCAAATGGTTAGTGTGCTGGACTATGAATCCGCGGGACCTTAAGTGCGTTGTTAGGGGTCATGACGGTTAAATTCAAAATTCGGTCAGACAAGAGTAGCCCAAGAGTTGTCAGTGAATGTTGTTAACTAGCAGTCTGTCTGACAGTTCAAATTTGTGGTCTGCATCCCGAAACTAATCCTTTTCTATCTTTGTCTATACTGTAAGGTTCAGCAAAACGCTCAGCTGTTTTCATTGCAATTTACATGTCCCGTTTTTCATATTGCAGTAACTTCTGGTCAAAGCAACCTTCTACAAAAACCAGAACTCCAAATTAACCCAGTAAATCTTCCAATAAACCTAATAATGCCTTCTAACTAAGAGTATGAAATGTCAAAACAAAATATTTTAATGATTACGACGAAGTTAGGTACTCTCGATGGTACGCCTACAGGCACATCTACAAAATCACAATACCAGACAAAAGCTATACTAATATAAACACAGTTACACATACAATCAACCGAAGAAACAAACATTCCTGTTAAAATGGTGCCATGTATACTTACTGTTGGCTCCTCTCTTTAGCTGGGTCTTTGGGATACCGGAGACGGAGATTCCTTCTTATGTCTTGCGTGTCATTCATAGTCCGCATTTTGGAAAACTTCCCACTCAGAAGAAGTGCTGTCTCTGTAAAACACGATTTGATATTAATACACGTCGGTACTGAACGGCGAATGTTTGAAAATCTACAGAATTGGAAAGTTCAACCTGAAAAGCACCTTATGTCCTCGCTGGCTAAACGACCAGGCCAGAGACCTCGAGGATTCTGGTATAGCTGTCCCGAATTTGGAATTCTGATTATAGAAAAGGCAGCCAGCCAGCCAGCAATACTCGCCACCACAATGGATTTGTCCCCCTTTGAACTGATTAAGTGTCATTTTTATCAATCGCTCATATATTAAAGTGTGAAGCATACTCAGAGGCATCACGTCTCGGACCTCAGACCATTCGATCGGAAGCTCGACCATACAAAAAATATACATATATAGAAATAACCAACGTCTCAAATTATGATGGTAACAACACATTCGGTGTTAAGCGTGATTTTAAAAAGTTAATGGTAAGTGAATTGATAAATGTTTTTGATTCAATTTTCCAGACTTTTATGAAATGAACATGAATATGAAAAATATATTTATTGCCTAAATCATACAGTTTTTTTTTGTATCAAAACCATTTCCAGATGTGAACACTACAAATCACCCAAAAAATAAGCACAACAGAGAAAACTTAGCTTAGAGATTAAGAAGAAAATAATTTTCAAAAGGTGAAACATTCCAAACCATGTACAGTAATACCCAGGTGCTCTACTGCTCTGAGCTGTCGATTAGGGCGTAAAACCGATAAGAAAAATACATGAGTACAACAATGCGTTCCCTACACAACACAACATGAGTACAACAATGTGTTCCTTACACAACACAACATGAGTACAACAATGTGTTCCCTACACATCAGAGCATAATTACAACAATGTGTTCCCTACACAACAGAACATAAGTAAAACAATGTGTTCCTTACACAACAGAACATAAGTACAACAATGTGTTCCTTACACAACAGAACATGAGTACAACAATGTGCTCCCTACACAACAGAACAT